TTACAGCATGGATGTTAAGATATGATTATAGTATTCACTGTAGATTTGCTATCGCGTAAATGACATGCTATAAGATGCATCGAAATAATATGCATGGAGCTGATCTTGGCTACAAAACACTTTAATTGAATATTAAGAGAAAACTCAAACATAATGACTTAATAAGCATCATTTTTAGCCTTTAAAGTGATAATGTAGTCTTCCCTTCAAAATGTCACCAAATCAGAAAAATGGCCCTACACAAGTCTTGTCACAGATGAAGGGAAGTTGTTGTGCATGGTGTGAAAATGGAGGGGAAAAAAACACACTACCTGATTGAAAGAGTGGGCTATGATATTCTGCTTTTTAGTGCTATTAACACCAGTCTTGCTTTGATGCTGGTAATTTACTGCCATTAGATTTTCTTGCGCATCTGTGTGTGCTTTCGAAATCAGAACATGCACTCTAGAGATCTAACCTTCAAGCGTGAATGACTCTGATGCATGCTGAACTGGTAGTGGGTGTCAGGAGGCATACTGGGAATAACCTACATCTTTGTTCCTCTTAAAAGGTCAGATCATTTTGTGAGTTTGTTTATATTATTTTGAAAACGTAATTGTGGCATTTCAGCAGACAAGTGTATGGTATTTGATTGGTTGGATGTAGTATACAATGTTTGTCATTTTCATTTTAAGCACATTTAAAAACATTTTCCCCAAAAGCATCTTAAAGTGAAGATAATGTGATAATCTCTGACCCCTTTGCAAATCAGTCTCATAACGTTAAGATGCTTTAAGGAAACAGTGCCCTCCACTGTTTAATTTTCCACAGTTTAACATAAAGGAACCACTTGAGAGAGAGCATAAAAATAAAATGCAGTCTTGGCAGAAGAGATTCCCCTCTGAGCTGATCCTTGAATTGCCCATGAACAGAAAAAACCCCAGGCAGAAACATACCAATCTGAATCAGTAGTTTTTGTTTTGAACACTGTGTTGCATCAGTTTCTTCCATGTCCTTGCAGGGGATCCAGTTACCATGAGAATGACCGTCTGTCATCGGTTGCAGCAGAGTTGCATTTCAAATCCCTGAGCCGCCACTCCAGCCCCACAGAGGACAGAGAAGGTGGGTATATTCAGTTAATCACCATGGTTCTATCCACGTAGTGAATGTTCATCTGCCTGATTTAGGTGAACAACTCCTGTGATTTCTCCCTCCAGAACCCTCTTATCCTAAGGGAGATCCTAACAGCACCGCACGGCGAAGCTGGGAGCTCCGCACCTTCATCAGCCAGTCCAAGGGTGAGATTATTGAGTGATGAGGCACGTTAGACACGCTGCTCCATACAGTTGTTTGACTTCAATTATAACTAATAATTTCCCCTCTCCTCTCTTAGACACAGCGGCACGGCAAAGTCCAATGGAGGCCGTCCGTCGCTCCATTCACAAGTTCGAAGATAAACGCTACGCCGTGATGAAGCAGCGCAACATCATCGGCCAAGTGTGTCACACGCCCAAGTCCTATGACAACGTCATGCACGTGGGGCTCAGGAAAGTGACCTTCAAGTGGCAGAGGGGCAACAAGATAGGTACGGCTACCTTCTCACTGCATTTGCTATAATGTGGGTTATTTAACGCACGCACAGGCAGTGATGTTATGTTCGTGTGTATGATAACAGGTGAGGGCCAGTATGGGAAGGTGTACACCTGCATCAATGTTGACACTGGAGAACTAATGGCCATGAAGGAGGTATGTACTCCAGCAAGATCAATTCAATAATAAGAAATAAAATACAATTAAAATAAAACATATTAATAATTCTGATTATTATTATTTTGTCAACCAGATCCGATTCCAGCCGAATGATCACAAAACAATCAAGGAGACTGCAGATGAGCTGAAAATATTTGAAGGCATTAAACACCCAAACCTGGTGCGATACTTTGGGGTTGAGCTCCATCGGGTAAGAGGCCTTCGTTTATGTCAGCTCAGGCAACACATGGTGCACACTGAAGCAGTTTGGTATAAACTTTTCATGTGCTCACCCGTAGGAGGAGATGTACATCTTCATGGAGTACTGTGATGAAGGCACCCTGGAGGAGGTGTCCAGACTGGGGCTGCAGGAACATGTTATCAGGCTCTATAGCAAACAGATCACTACAGCCATCAATGTCCTCCATGAACACGGCATTGTCCACCGCGATATCAAGGGTAGGTTTCATATGCTCTCTCTTATTTTTCATGTTTTGTTTTTTCTTATCTGAAGTACAGGAAATTCTGAATAAACTCCCACTTTCCCCATTGTTAATTCTGTCTGTATCAGGAGCCAACATATTTCTGACATCCTCTGGGCTGATTAAGCTGGGTGACTTTGGGTGCTCAGTCAAGCTGAGGAACAACACCCACACCATGCCCGGAGAGGTGAACAGCACTCTGGGAACAGCAGGTAAAAGCTTGTATGCTGTGTCTCGGTTGCAAGCTGCCAGCAGGGGTCGCTGTGGCTTGATGTCTGCTGCCTCTCATGCTACGTTTTAGAAAAAATGTGTAATATGAATACGAATATGAAGATGTACTATAATATTCTCTTCTTTAACTGGTGTTTTGGATACAGCAACCTTGATTTTTTTATGCATTTCCATGCTTCATACTGCATATGATTAATATACTAAACATTTCTTATGTTATATGCAGCATTGTATCATATCATCACTGTATTACTGCCTAGTAAAGTCTAGTCTTTTAACTGATGGTTATTTTTTCAATTTTCTCCCCTGTCTTCATCAGCATACATGGCACCTGAAGTCATCACAAGAGCAAAGGGGGAAGGTCACGGGCGAGCAGCAGACATCTGGAGTTTGGGCTGCGTCCTCATTGAGATGGTGACAGGAAAGGTAAAGAGTGACAGAAAAGGTGGTGTGTTTCACACAAAGTTCAAGTGTTTCGTCTTAGTCATGGGTGCTTAACAGGTTTTAAAAGTGAGAGTGCCACACGGGCTTACATCTTATTCAGGGATAGTTTTTGCTGTCATTGTGTGCTGTCACAGAGGAGGAGACAGATGGAAGTACTTGTAGCTTTGTTGTTATTATTGTAAACAAGAGACCCAGTGTAGAACAGCTGTAGCTCCAGCATGCATTTTTTATGTCTCAGCTCACTTAAGTAAAATATTAATGTAACATATTTAGCACATTTATGCCACATATATTATTGAATTTTGAGCTCTGTGTAAGACGCTGAATCAATTATTGTAAATTATCGATGTTTTGACAACAAATTGATGTTTCAGTCTGATTAAAGTCCGTGGAGCCAGTGTCCCTACAGCAAACCTGACAATTTACTTGAGTTATTTAAAATAGTTGTCAAAACCTAATGCTCATGAAGCTTGTCCGTATGCTTATGGTCTTAAATGAATCGGCCTCCGTTCTTAGCACCTCAGGCAAAAAGAGAATGAAAAAAAAAAAAAACAACCAGAAAATGACTCATGTTCTTATTTTTTGATCTCAACCTGCAGAGACCCTGGCATGAGTACGAGCACAACTTCCAGATCATGTACAAAGTGGGCATGGGCCATAAACCCCCCATCCCAGAGAAGCTGAGCACAGAGGGGAAGGACTTCCTCGGCCACTGTCTGGAGAGCGAACCCAAACGCCGCTGGACAGCTAGCATGCTGCTGGACCACCCGTTTGTCAAGGTGAGGTACTTCCGTGGCAGATGTTATAAAGCCGTCATGCCTTCTTTTCGTGATCTTAACCCCCAGACTAAAACCTCACTTTCATGAGTGAACTGTCGGGGCTTGACTGAACACTATGTTACTTTACAGCCGCTATTTCTCGTCTGTTTCAGGTTTGTACAGATGAAGAGTGAAAGGAAACCCCCTCTCTGGCTTTCAAGTTTACAAATTAAAGCACTACTGTACATGCTGTTGGCAAAAAGAAAAAGGAACTGTGGACATGGAGAAGTGGACGTTATGGCTGAAGGCACATGGAGTTAAACTGAGGAACTAATACAATATCATTTCAGAGGACAACTGGACCTACGGAGTATAGGGTTGTTGTTGTGTCTTTATGTACCCATGGACTGGGGGGAGGAGGGGCAGGGGTGGGACTGTACATACTGTAAGAATAGGATTGGCTTTAATTCTTGTATAAACAATATTGTAAAGTTAAAGTAACTATTGCCACATTTGTTCTTCTCACTGGTGAAGAGACCTCTGAAAAGGCATTGAGGAAGACTTTTTTTTTTTTTTCTTTTAAACAAATGGGTGGGGTGGGGTGGGACAAAAATCTATGGCACTTTTAAACTGTTTACCCAAGGGGGCAGTTGAGTAGAGGAGGGAGGAATCTTATTTCAGTCGCCCTTTGAGGCAGAAAAGGATGCGGTAAACCTCCCTGAACAGAAGGAGAAGCTGGTTTAACGTTATGAAAGGAGCACCATCCAAATAGTCAGATTAATTTATCACTTGTCCTTTGGCAAGCGCGGGCACTAGGAAGGACTTTTTTTTTTAATGTATTTTTCTTTGCCTTTGCTGAGGAGTAAATGTCAAGTTGGAGCAATGTTCAAGTCTACTGGTCGCCGGTGAAGAGCTGTTCATGTGACTGGAGCATAGCCAACAAAGAGGAGAAACGGGGCCTGCTCTCCCTCCCTGCTGCTGAACACAAAACATCCACACAACCAAACACAGACACTGACACACACCACAACTTCTGGTCCTCTGCTGCTCTTATAGTGTTTGCTATGTACAAACAATATTAATAAAACAATTGTTTTTTTAAAAAAAAAAAAGGTGAAATGTATATTTTCTTCAAACATAAAAATGCCACTCATCATTAGTATGCCATTGCTATCCACAGAGGTAGTTCATTTCATTTTGAGCTGACGGTAAAATGTGTGGTTTAACTGCATTGAAATATTTGCATCATTGTTTGAGGTGTAACATGATCTTGTCTCAAATATTTCCAAAACAAGATGAACACAGGCTGCCCCACACTTCACTTCCATGATCTGACATCTTTAACATTTAGACCAAACACAGGTGATTACTCTCAGCTCTCAGATCAGTGAAGGTCAGGACTGCTTAGTGTTTGTTTAGAGGAACCTCCTTATTCCCGTAGTTAGAGCTTCTGTCAATCTCAGTCTGGCCAATCATCCAGCGAACTCCCAGTGACGCTGTGAGGAAAAATATTCAGAAAAAGTACGTTTAGAATATTATTTGAGTGAACCACTAAGACGTGGTGAAAGATTCTGTAAGACATGTTTTCCTTTAGTTAATTTCCTTTTCAAGATTTTCAAGATAAGAGTTTTTCTCAGGTTGCTTTCCTTGAATAAAAAGCATTTACAAAATAATCACATCTAGCCGCACAACAGTGGATGAACATTGATACTTTCTAATAAGGCACCCATTATGAAGCGTTTATAAATTGTAACTTGTGGCTACAAAGCGTATCTGGACCATTAACTATTCATTAACATTTTGAATATCTAGAACTGCAGATGACTTGTACTAATTCTAAGTATTTAATTAACTAGAAAGTGAGAAACTTAAGTCAAAGGCTTTCTGGTGCTAATTTACATGGATTTTTATGTGGGTTATATGTGAATGGATTTGTTGTTTCCTCAACACAGATGCAGTGTGAATTTACAGTATGTTTGATATATATTTTTTAGTTGTCGACTAGATATATTTTATGTGCTGTCACAGAAGTAATTTGTGTCATAGGAGTTAAGGCAGAGAAAGCCAGTTATAGCTCATTTGAGGGTGACTTCACTTTGCCTTCAATATATGAAACAAACCTGCAGAGCAGAGAGCCACAGAAGCTAAGATGGTGAGCATCGATCCAGAGCTGAAGAGTTGAGCCAGTAGTAGGCCCAGAGGGTAGAGCAGCAAGCAGCACCAGAATAACCAGTTGATCAAGGACCAGGGTCGGCGTGGAGGGCTCACTGTGGGGCCAGGGAAACACCCTGTCTGTGTGTAGTGCTCCTGAAAGCTATCCTGCAGATACATCAATACAGACACAAGTCAATACCAAAGTCTCAAAATAAAAAGTGAGCCCAGGTTTGTTCCAGCACCCAAAATGTGATGACCTTTCATAATATTTCAGTGGTGAAAAGCTCAAAATGCTCAACATTAGCCAGTTTGGATTAAAGAATTGGAGACAACGAGGCATGCAACAAGAAGCAAAGTTATTACAGTCTAAACTTCCCCCTTCAACACACTCTTACCTTTTCCTGGTAGAGTTTGTGGAGCCAAGCAGCGCACTCTGCCTCATCCTCTGGGATCATCTCTAGCGGGATTCTCCTGCAAGTAAAAGAGGGAAGTCAGATCTCTCAGATAAAAACAGATTGCATCACTAAAGAGGAAATGAAACAAAAAATCTTCACTGGAAAGCATTTCTTTGTACCTCACATATAAATCTGCATGATATTTCTTCCCATTAAGAATTCCAAGCAAGGTTGGTGATTCGTTGTTTCTGAAGTTCAGTGTGGAATCATAAACAGCCGCAGCTACACAAGACGAGACACACAGCAGCAGTTAACTGTACAACTCATTTAATTTGTAAATATTTCCCCTCTCAAAGACACCCAGCTCACAGTGTCTGGTATCTACTGGCAGCCATATTTAAACTCTTCGTCAGAGATGGATACTCACCAGTTCCTCTGAGGTTTTGGACAGTTACCCAGAATCCTTTGGTCCTGGGCAGAAGATGGTACTTCAGTTTGGGCAGACCTTTGCTCTCAGCCACCTGCATGCTGACCTGGTGCTTCTTTGGTGTGAAGCGTGTTCCTTCACAGTAAAGCAAGAACTAGTCCCAGGAAAAGAGAGTGTTCATCAACAGCGTTAAAGACATCACTCTCAGCCATCTTGATTTTATTATAACTCTCACAGGCTGAAACTTACCCAGTAGTTTTCTGGGTAATCCCGCAGGTTCTGAAGACTCTGTGCCACTGTCCTTCGGTCTTCTTCCCATTTCCTCTTGCAGAAAACTATCTCAAGGAAGTACCACATCCAACCGATGATTGGCACATACGCCAACTCCTTCTTGGCTAACGCTTTTGAGCTCTGGGAAAAGATTGACATTTTTTTATCGTTAAGGAACTACACACATCCTCTACATAAAAAACGGCTAAGCACTTGGGTTTTCTGGGACACTTGTCTCTTACCCCCAGGACACCGAATCTGTCACAGAAGGTCCAGCCACACAGGAAGTCTATCTCAAAACTATGATTGAGAACCACAATTGCATTCTCCTTTCCATACAGTGGATAACTCTTTGGGTCGGTGTAGAGCGTGCATTCTGTCCCAGACCACCACTCCAGGGCGGCTACCATCTCTGAAGATCAGGAAGACACAATCATGTAGTCACCTCTATGTTTTGTGAGGAAAGATAGTTGTGTTTGTTTGTAAAGCTGCCTTATGCTGCACCAGAGTTGAAATCTATGATCTTGTTCCTTGGAACAAAGTTACCACTGAAATGAAAAATGAAAATTTCTTCCTTCCAGCACCAAAACAAACACAGTACCAACAGATTTCAGCATCATCTATGTGGCAGAGAATAAGAGCAACTACTCACGGCTACTGACACAGTAGGCCAGTCTGATGTTGATCCTGCGGGCCAGCTGTTTACTGACCAGCCACAGAGGTAGAGTACAGAGCTGCAGCAGGTTGATGATGAGGCCGCTGACCAGGAACACGTAGCAGATCATCAGGTGACACAAGAACTGGGACTTCAGCAGCTGCAGGACGCCCATTGTTCTGTCAAAGTTCCACAGCTTAAAGCATTAAAACACAACCACTTCCTCGTGTCACACACACTTGACTCAATGGTATGAGATACTGTATCACTCAGCTCTGTCAAACACACCTATCAGCTCAAGCCTAGTGTTGACCTAAGGTGTGACAGTAACTGCCCTTACAGCACTCAGCCTGCTCTTACAGGAAGATCAACTTCGAAGAGATCAAAACTCCAGCAACACTTGTAGTATAAAGAGCAACTTTATAGTGCTGTTAACATCAGCCCTGCCTATTTTTGCTGGTGATCCACTGACTTTTAGATCTTTGGCATGTTTGTGTGTGGTTTTGAAATCATTACATGGACTATTGAGATCTTACCTTCACATTTGAACTGTTAAGTAATTCTGATGCATGCTTAACCTAATGGGTTTCCGTAGACATACAGGAAATAAACTAAATGTTTTCTTTTTTTCTTTACCTTATTTTAACCTCATTTTGGATTTCATACATGAATTGTGTATTATATATTATTAACTTCTTACTTGATTTGTGAGTTCAACTATTATTTATAGATCTGGGTGCCTTTTCCCAAGATAAGATTAAAAGATAGGTTGAAATATGCACAGTTAATATGAAGAAGTCATGAGTCACTGTTGTTCCTAGTTCTCATCTTCTAATGTCTCAAAATTTGTGGAAAATTGAATTTTTAATTTCATCCAAAGCTAATATGGCAGCCTGAGTTAAACAAAAAAAGTGTATACACCCAAAGTTACACTAATAAGACCAATTTTGGTTGATACCAGCAGACTGCAAAATGCAGGATTTATAATGCCAAATTAGAAATCAAAAAAATCAAACAAAGAAGCTAAATGGAATGCACATTGTTCTATGTATTTCTTTTTAATACAAGCATTTATTGTGTCATAATTACATAAAACACATACGGTTAGAGGATAATTATTTGGACTTAGAGTCTTTAGTAACTAAATTAATTATTCTTCATCATTGATCCAGGATCATCACTCTGTGTCCCTGAGGTCGGTCATGTCAGTCACTTAGTGGCTCATATTTATTATGGGAGGAAAGCTGAAGTACAATATCACTGGACTGTGGGCAATTTTCTGAGTGACTCATAAGAAGAGAGAGAAAAAAAAAACATCTGGTGAGTTCAAACCAACACAAAAAAACTAAAGGTCTAATCATTAATTATGAAATGTCCAGGTAACAGCAGGTGGAGAGAGGATACAGTATGTTGGTTACATGGACAAATAAATAAATAAATAAATAAGACTGGGGCTGCAGAAACATGTCATCAGACTTTAACCGAACAAATGAATCTGTCCACTAATATGTGAAGGGTCAGTGTCACAGTCTTCCTCATAGCTGTGATTTACTTGTCTTTCTAAATGAGTAGCCAACAACACTATGACATCATCAGGCATGTTTAAGCTGAGTGACTCTGGCTTTTCATACTTTTATCCAGGTGAGGTGAACAGAACTCTGGGAACAGCAGGTAAGAAATTATGTCTCGTGTCTGGTTTGCATGCCACCACCGGGGGTCACTAAAGCTTCTTTTTTCCACTCCATGTTTCAAACCAGCTATGGCCTTGTGTTGTCCTGGTAATGAGTGTGTGATGCAAATTTTAACAGTTTAATATGTGTGTATCACAGCAAAGGGTGAAGGTCATGGACACGCAGCAGATATCTGGGGTTTAGCCTGCGTCCTCACCGAGGTGACAGGAAAGGTAAGGAGTGACAGTGACTGAGGGAGGAGACCCACTGAAATACAGTATGTGCTCACTAAGTTACTCTACCTCTGTTTATACTGTCAAGAAGAGATGCAGTGTAGATTAGCCTTGGCTTCTGTTTGTTGTAACAGTGCAGTATATTTATATTTTCATTTATTAAAACCGTAGGAAGTTGACTCGTGACTCAGGTAGTGATTCTCTCCTCGTTTTTATCTCAGCTCGCAGAAGGTGAGACACTGCCTTAGCAAGTATTTCAAAGAATTCCTGATTTCTAAATACTCTAATATTCATAGTACAGTTTTTTTTTTTGTCTTTGCTGAGGAGTAAGTGTCAAGTTGAGGCCTTCAGAGGATTTTCGAGTAAATCTAGTTACTGGTGAAAAGCTGTTCTTGTAAGTGGAGTGTATCCAAATAAAATGAGAAACAGGGCCTGTTCTCCCCCCCGTGGCCAAACACAAAACATCCAAACATCCAAACACAGACACTGGCACACACACCACAACTTCTGATCCTCTGCTGCTCTCATAGTGTTTGCTTTGTACAAACAATATTAATAAACTAATATGTTTTATTTTTTAAAAACTGAAATATATATTTTATTCCACCATGAAAATGTCATATTAGATTACAAGCAAAGAGGTAGTTCATTCTGCACTTTGTTGAACTTAAAATTTCAGTTTGATTTATCAGCAAGAATATTTGCCTTGACTGTATTCAAATATTTACCCTCTGATTTTAGAAGCATGTAGTCAAGCTATATTTTATCTTGCCTCATGTTCCTATTATAAGTTTCCTAAAGGAAGTTGCTCACCACAGTCCAGTTTCATGATCTTTATCTTGATGAGCTTATGCAGCATAGTGTTAGGACAAAACTACCTTGTCTGCATTGTGCTTTTAAGCAGGTTTGCACTTGTTGGACCAACAGGAACCTGTCAGACTGGTGTTTACAAAGTCTGCAGCCAGCAGCTTGCAGATTAGAGGCTGTGCAAAGAAGCAGCTCTGAGTAGGGTCAGGATTCCTTAGTTTCTGTTTAGAGGAACCTCCTTATTCCCATAGCTTGAGCCTTTGTCAATCTCAGTCTGGCCAATCATCCAGCGAACTCCCAGTGAAGCTGTGAAGGAAAGAGTCAGAGAGAGTACATTTAGAATAATATCTGAGCAAGTCACAAGAAGGGCCGACAGATTTTGAGATCCTGCACAGGACATGGTTATTTCCACAGTAAATTCAATTTTTAATTTTGTAAATTTGCCCTCACAGTATAAAGATTTTTCAGGATCTTATTTAAGTTACGTGTCTGAATTTGCCACTTTGAGACTGGAAACTGAGGGTTGAGTCCGTCAACAACCAATGTCTGGAGAAAATCCAAAAATAAGTTCCAGTTTAACTGACACTTTTCACAAAATGCTTAATACTGAGCTGTCACCTCCAAGAAAACTAATTTTGTCATTTTTACCTCAACCACAAACATGGCTAATCATTTATTGTGGAAACCGTAACATGTTCCTCCTGAACCCATGCTGTCAGGAAAAAATAATTTCTCTATTTAACATCTCTGTGAAACAAATTAGATAGATGAATGTTTAACTCTGAGTAAACACATGCCTGAATGCTGTTGGGGACATGCTCCCAAGACAGCTTAATCATATCTTCCAAAAAAAGGGGACTTACATTTGAGTTGTCAGATCTGCTGCTTTATGAAACATTTGAACAAAAAGGAGCTGGTTAAACTGAGGGAGGGACTGTTACACCCATTTTTGGGCTTGAATGCATGAAACAAACCTGCAGAGCAGAGAGCCACAGAAGCTAAGATGGTGAGCATCGATCCAGAGCTGAAGAGTTGAGCCAGTAGTAGGCCCAGAGGGTAGAGCAGCAAGCAGCACCAGAATAACCAGTTGATCAAGGACCAGGGTCGGCGTGGAGGGCTCACTGTGGGGCCAGGGAAACACCCTGTCTGTGTGTAGTGCTCCTGAAAGCTATCCTGCAGATACATCAATACAGACACAAGTCAATACCAAAGTCTCAAAATAAAAAGTGAGCCCAGGTTTGTTCTTTGACAGCCATGTTGCTGTCAGTGTGTCTAGAAAGTGGTAGGAGCCAAAATATAACAACTTTGTTTAATGTTTCACATTAGCCATTCAGATTAATGAGTTATTTAGGTCATGGAAAGTGTGAACAGAGAAGTATTGACAGAAGCCAAATCCACAAAAATACCCCAACAAAACAAGACAAAAAAACCACACCACAGTCCAGGATCTCCCACAGTATTTTATCCTCTTACATCTATCCAACTTATATGAAATAAAACACAAGCCTTCAGGGAAAAAGAGCACAGGCACTTTTTTACACAGTAAAATTAATTAGTATGTCTTTTTTTAGGCCATCAGGACTACTACACAGTTCCTCATGGGAAAACCTTCACTCCATCAGAAACCTCCACCTTCAACAAACTCTTACCTTTTCCTGGTAGAGTTTGTGGAGCCAAGCAGCGCACTCTGCCTCATCCTCTGGGATCATCTCTAGCGGGATTCTCCTGCAAGTAAAAGAGGGAAGTCAGATCTCTCAGATAAAAACAGATTGCATCACTAAAGAGGAAATGAAACAAAAAATCTTCACTGGAAAGCATTTCTTTGTACCTCACATATAAATCTGCATGATATTTCTTCCCATTAAGAATTCCAAGCAAGGTTGGTGATTCGTTGTTTCTGAAGTTCAGTGTGGAATCATAAACAGCCGCAGCTACACAAGACAAGACACACAGCAGCAGTTAACTGTACAACTCATTTAATTTGTAAATATTTCCCCTCTCAAAGACACCCAGCTCACAGTGTCTGGTATCTACTGGCAGCCATATTTAAACTCTTCGTCAGAGATGGATACTCACCAGTTCCTCTGAGGTTTTGGACAGTTACCCAGAATCCTTTGGTCCTGGGCAGAAGATGGTACTTCAGTTTGGGCAGACCTTTGCTCTCAGCCACCTGCATGCTGACCTGGTGCTTCTTTGGTGTGAAGCGTGTTCCTTCACAGTAAAGCAAGAACTAGTCCCAGGAAAAGAGAGTGTTCATCAACAGCGTTAAAGACATCACTCTCAGCCATCTTGATTTTATTATAACTCTCACAGGATGAAACTTACCCAGTAGTTTTCTGGGTAATCCCGCAGGTTCTGAAGACTCTGTGCCACTGTCCTTCGGTCTTCTTCCCATTTCCTCTTGCAGAAAACTATCTCAAGGAAGTACCACATCCAACCGATGATTGGCACATACGCCAACTCCTTCTTGGCTAAAACTTTTGAACTCTGGAAAATTTTAAATTGAAAGTACATTATGGAACTGGAGAATAGGCAAGGCAATAATCACATCAAGATTTCTGATTTGGTTTTTAGGCTTCAAAGAAAAGGAATTGAGATATGCACCAATTATTAGCCTTCCTTCTTTAGCACCAAAGACAATTATCTCAGTTTTGTCTTTGTTTAGTTGGAGGAATTTTCGGAACATCCACTCATTAATATGTTTGATGCATAGACCCAGTAAGTTAATAGGAGCATAGTCGGAGCTTTTTATAATTGAGTGTCGTCTGCATAAGTGTGATAAGTGATATTGTTCTTATGCATAATTCAGCCAAGTGGGAGCAGACAGAGATTAAGCAGGAGAGCTCCCAGAATTGAATCTTGAGGTACTCCACATGTCATGCTAATGGAAATTCCAAATCTATCAGAGCAGGAGTGTCCCCATCTATCTTAAAGAATCTCTTGAAGACTCATCTCTTCCAAGAGTACCTCCTCTACTAACACCTCTAACACCCTAACATGCCTAACTAGCACTTATTATACACCTCCGGTGCACTTCTTTACCTGATCTCCTTACACTTACTGAATACATGAAGTACTTACACCAAGGTCTCCTACTGCACTTAAGCTTTAGTGTTGTCCCTCACTTGTAAGTCGCTTTGGATAAAAGCATCTGCCAAATGATTAAATGTAAATGAATGTAATGGAAACAAAACAGTCCCTTTTTGCAGTTAGTGCTGAATTGCAAAAAAGCCTCAAGGTCAAAAAAAGGGCACGTGTGTGGTTCTCTGGGACACTTGTCTCTTACCCCCAGGACTCCGAATCTGTCACAGAAGGTCCAGCCACACAGGAAGTCTATCTCAAAACTATGATTGAGAACCACAATTGCATTCTCCTTTCCATACAGTGGATAACTCTTTGGGTCGGTGTAGAGCGTGCATTCTGTCCCAGACCACCACTCCAGGGCGGCTACCATCTCTGAAGATCAGGAAGACACAATGTTGAAAAAAATGGTAGTTTGACTGCGTTTGCAAAGTTGTCTTATGCTTCTTGCAGACTGATATTAAATATTTGATCTTCTTCATTGGAACAAAGTTATCACTGAAATGACAGATTTCTTCCCTCCAGCAGAAAAAAAAAAAAAACACAGTACCAACAGCCACATCATCTATGTGGCAGAAAATAAGAGCAACACTCACGGCTACTGACACAGTAGGCCAGTCGGATGTTGATCTTGCGGGCCAGCTGTTTACTGACCAGCCACAGAGGTAGAGTACAGAGCTGCAGCAGGTTGATGATGAGGCCGCTGACCAGGAACACGTAGCAGATCATCAGGTGACACAAGAACTGGGACTTCAGCAGCTGCAGGACGCCCATTGTTCTGTCAAAGTTCCACAGCTTAAAGCATTAAAACACAACCACTTCCTCGTGTCACACACACCTCCCTTCATCAGCCAGCTCTGTCAAACAAAGTCGTCAGCTGGAGTTGCCCTGGGCTGTGACAGCAACTGTTCTCACAGCACTGATCCCACTCTGACATAAAGGTTTTCTTTGACTGGATTTAATCTTCTGAATGGAGCCTCTGTGCTGGACTCTGCATAAACTGGACTGTGCATAAACGGCATATGACAGGGTAAATGTTTGCTCCTCACTGTAGCCTACTCTTTTTTGGGTATAGGGTCATGTATCATCATCAAGCCCATAACCATGTTGTAGTTTTGTCAGAGCATTTCCTTAAAGTCAAGTAATATGAGTTTACATGCATTAGCTCTGTTATTGAATCAGTGTGCTCTGAAAGGTCAGACCAATCCCACTTTAGTTTAGCAGCCTATAAGAAGGTCGCATTTTTTAGCTGTTCCACAGCACTGACAAACACTGTCCTTATTATTTACCATCAAACTGGTTTTGATGGTACAACACAGACATACAAGTCTGCAAAGTAGGTGGCAACAACAATAGCACGATAATAATAACACAAAAATACCACTTAAAAATTTCAAGCAACATTTACATATCAGTGGTGAGATGAGATGGAAATACAACTACACAAATGATCAGAATAAATACAATCAGTGACAAAGATTATTTCAACAGACTGTAGTTTGACAGAGTCAAATGTCAAGTTATTACTAATCCATAACGAACAGGAAAAACACCATCATTCATCTGACACGTGACATTTACCTGGCTCAGTCTATGTTCTTCAGGAGAGCTGTCCTGCCACAGGAATCTTCAATCTCACAAAAGTAGACAAATTAAAAGAAAACACCAGTCTTCACCATGTATCCATGCCACTTGGAATTCGTGCTGTTCTTCAGATTTCAGTCATGTTCATTTTCATTCTCTAGTTGACTCACTAAAAGAAAACTTCCCCCAAACAAGGAACCACACCCATCTGAAAGCCACGCCTGGACCCGAGGATGGAGACATGAGTGAGAGCTCTTCTTCCTTCTAGAAACTCTGGAGCCAGGTCGCCTGCAAAGATGAGGGACGTGGTCGCGGTGATCAGGACTGATTAAACCAGCAGAGCCGCTCTGTCACCATGGTGACCGATATAGCAAATAAAACTCCCTCATAAGTAATTAGCTCAATAAGATACATTTCACCTCAGGATGATAATAATACATTTAGTCTGAGGGTGATTTATCGAGTTCACCTTTAAAAAGTTAATCATTTTTAATCAGAACGTCAACATTTCCCGATACTGATACACCTACACGCAGTTGTTTCTTCGTGTCACAAACTGGGACTGAGTGAGACCTCTTTCTGTTTTTTCCCTCGTCTTTGCCTTGCCCTTATTTGGCCATAGGAAAGGCGGAGTAAGGGTGCATGCGCCGTGGTCTTTTCGTGATTAATGTAATCAAGCATCATAATGCCAACAAAAGTGACAGCTGTCTGAGGAAAACGTCGTCCCTTTGCTCGGTTTTGACAGGATCTGAGTAACAACCACAGAGTCATACAGAGAACCCCCCCCCCCCCCCCCCCCCAATTTCAACTCCGTTTAATACGGAGCCGTCATAGACTGTGAGGGAGCCATACTGACGGGGATTTTGCAGGAAACTGGTAAACAGTGTTGCCTCTTGGTGGACAGCACTCCCTGCAGGTAATATGTCGTATGTGCGTAAGAAAAAGTGATTTTACTTTCTTAAAGGAACAGTTGACCCCAAATGACTCCAGTCAACGCTTAATCACAAGAGTTAAGCCTCAGTAGCAGTAAGGTTGGGGTGTGACTCAAAAGAAGCATTGTACAAAAGTATTGATTTAGAGACTGGTGCTATCCGGTATTACAAAATACATAACACAGTAATTTCTTTACTGGACTCATTAACCTGTTGAATTAAACTTCTTGCTCCTTTAAATTGCCTCTCAAGCAAGTTTAAAGTTAATTTTTTTGCTCTACACAAAAAAGCCATGTTTTTAAGACTGCATCAAATGGAAATATTTCAGATGCCTTCTGCATGATGTGTTACACACTGGCTTAAAAATTGAGGCTGTTAATGGCTTTGATTTACGATTTTATAGCTCTGCCAGCAAAGCTTTCTCCTCATCTTGTTAAATTTGTTTATTATATAAAACTCCTTTTCTGGATATAAAGTCAGGTTTTATAAAAGCAAGATTCCTCCACCAACTTTGCAACACAAATAACTTTAACTGGCTAAATAATCCACTTCCCAAAATGAAAAGGTCACAGGAAAGGCGGAGTGTGGTCTGTGTGAGCTGGCTCATGGAAACACTGAGTTTAATAGAGTTTCTCTCCTCACAGAAAATAATACCATTCCTCAGCTGAAAGTAAAACAGAGCAGAAGTGGAAACAGATACACTAACATACAAGGCATCCACTTTTAATGCTTACTTCAGTTTTTGGCAATTTCCTCTTGCCAACACCAGAGGGAAATAGAGATGCACTGAACACAGCTCCCGTATTTTGAGGAAAAACATCCCCTGTTGCCCATATTGTAAATGTGCTCATATTTTCTGTTTTGCCTGCTTTAAAAAATGTTGTGATATGTTATCTATATGGAACCACCAAGCCAAGCCAAACAACATCTGATTATTTTTTCTTTGCAACCCAGAGACCCCTATATGGAGGTTAATGGGATCCACCTTGGGGATTGCTGAGAAGTGTTTCCAAGCTCTCTTTTTACAGGTCCCATAATGCTTCAGCCCTCATGTCCTTTACGACCAAATAACCTTGAAGAGAGGACATGCCTGTCTGAAGAGGTCCAACCATACGGTAAAGTAGCTCAGGAAGTTCTTTATGTTCAAATACCAAAGACAAAGAGTGTGAAGGGGCTCTAGGGAATCATGTTTAGTAAGTATAGTATGTGCACAGTCACTTTGTGGCTACAGAGGTGATGGAGCACAGCAGGTTTTACACTGTTAGCTGAACTGAGGAAGAATTGCTACGAATTCGAATGCACGTGTCAATTATTCTAAATCCCATAGCACCTTTACAAAGTGGCCAAGGTCAACACTGATGTGTATCCAACTCACTTTCAGGCATCCTGGTTAAATACACCTGCATCAGACTAGTTTAGATGAATCAGAAGTCATCATTTTATTTACTCAAGTTCAACACTCATTGCAAATGCAATGTTTAGGGGGTTGTGTTTTCTTTGTTACCTGATTTCATAGAAGGCGGAGACAATTTAAGAAAATCACACAATAAGACTTTCTCCACATTACATACAAAGCAGCCTAGTATGAGTGAAATTGTTGTGATACATGGAGGAAACCATTTCTATTTAGTTTATGCAGGCCAGGTTACACGCAGTCTCCTTTTAAACAGGAATAAAATGCCATCAGTGCACAAACTGGGAGGTCAGACAATACACAGAGGGTGATACATGGATTTAAAATCAACAACTCACTGCCTTTGTCCTCCTAGGTGCAGGCTTCTGTCTGTTAATGTGGAGTTATGCTCTTACTGTCTTTAGGGTAATTTGTGCAGTATTAGCACAAGTGCCCATTTTATTACCATAAAATAAAAGTATGATACTAAAATATTCCCTCGAGACAATCTTTGAAGACATACTGCATGTAAATAATCTGTTTTGAATAATCATTTTTCTCATATGTTTTATCAACACAAAAGTCTAATAAACTATTTATAAATGATTAAAAGCATATCTACTTATTTTCCCTCATTAAAAACCCAAATCTATGAAGATACAAATAAACTTAGTTTCAGAAGTTGAACTGCTGGATGCAAGATGTTTTCTTCTTCATTAAACAGTCCATTCTCAGCATAAGTGCGCTGGAGGCTTCAAGTTTCCACACCACACTTGTGTACGTTGCATATTGGACCACGGTCGGTTTCCAAACTATTTGTGATGCCACAAAATCATGCTTGTGCAGTACATGCACATGTTCAACTCAGATTTATGGGAAAAGAAAGAGAAATTTCTCCCTCAGCAGATGATTTTGAAAACAAGTCTTCCAAGTGTCAAACTCTGCACGTGCATCATTCTGCACAGCTAATAGACACAATAAAGTAATCATTCAATATCTGTCACTCTTATAGCTGTAGTCTAAAAGCTGCCTTGGCTGTAGGACACACATGCAGCTATGCAAGAGGCAAGTACATGAGAACAACTGTTCAGTGGAAAATGTAAATCAGAGTGAAAACATACGTCTTAAAATTGGTTGTTAAAGTGAAATGACTAACCATCAGAGTACCTCCTACCCAAAGTGGGTAGCCAGGAAGAAGAGCGTCTCATTCACATTTCACTGACTCTTTGGTGGAAAAGTGCAGTTGATACGAGGTTACTGGATTCAAAAATGTGTTGCGTGGACACCTCACCGCAAGAAGTTACCCTTTTCCAAGAAATGTCAGCTTTCATTAAATGAGTAATGTGTTACTGTTAAAGTTGCCCTTCTCGGGCCCTTCCTTGGTACAGCAGGCAACTGGATACCATATAAGAGCAATGTCGTGCGTTTGAGTGCAGCTTTTGACATTTGTTGCATGACATTCCCCTGCTCTTATTTATTGTCCACTGTTAAATCAAGCAGAGAGGCTATAAAAATAATTTAAAAAAGCTTCCTTTGCTAGATCAAACTAAAGACCAGATGTAATGAAGCTGGACTACATGCTTCTTTGACATGCAGGAAAATTGGCCAGCACCAAAACATCCGCTTCAATCTTGAAAAACCCCCTCTGTTATCACACCATTAGGAATGCAGAGCAAATTTTTAATAGCTGATGCTCGTTCCTTTACTTATTTAGTGTAATTAATTAGTTACTCTTGTAAAAATCAGTGGCTGCAGCTGACTTTTTTCAGTCAAGACTGAATCAGGTTGATGCAGTTGGCCAAAGCCAACAGTGTTGAGCCAGGAAGAGCTATACTTTTGGCTCAGCAACACAGGGGTGATTTGGATGAGCATGCTGTGTAAGGAATGCACCAAGGATTAAGTGAAATCACTGAATAAGTGTGATTTATGAGCCATTCTGCGTCAATAGATTATGACTGGCTTTAACTCCTTTTACCTGAAACAAATGAACACTCACCCCAGTCCTCTGCATGACTCTTTATAGTAACAGGTCTATCAGCAGATGATTCACATCCTTCTCACTCTGAGGAAAGCCTACCTGTGTATTCCTCGCAATACAGTGAATTTATTTATTATAACACAATGTGCGGCTCAAAAAATTGCTTTGAAAGAGCGAGGAAAAGATGTTTTTAAACACAAAATGCAGCTGCACGACAAGCCTGATGCAAATGATCTGACCAGGCATCACAGTCATTACTGTATACATTTGTGCAAATGGTCGAATAAATCAGGAACAACTCTGACCGGGAAAAGGCTCTATTCATTCAGGTTTTGCACAGGCTTTAGTAAATAAGGCGATAAATCTGATTAAGTAATTCTGAATGACTGCATGTTGGAATGTCATGAAAGGAGATAACGTGCTCAGATTTACTTGTACGCATGCTTTAGGCTTTTGGACATATAGGAAAAAAGTACAAATCAGAAAAAGTGACAACATAGCCTGGAGCCTAAACTTTATTTGACATAGTGTATATGTGCAGTAAGCCAGTAATGAGATCCTGATGTATGCAGTGTGTTTCTCCCGGGGCTGGGCTCTGCAGCGTCGTCCATCAGGCAAAGTAACCCTGACGACACATCCGACTGTCAGTGAAACACTGGGAGGTTTTCTGGAGACACCTGCTCTGCTGCTCTCTGGGGCCCAAACATGAGGCCTGAACCGAGGGCCAAAAAGTACTGGCCTGAGTGAAATTATTTGATGTAACGCCATCACCAAGGTGAAGAAGATTAAAATACTGCATGGTTATGCAATTACATGTCCTCTTCTTCAACTTTTACTCCTGCCTCCTCTGACAGATGTCAGAATTGGGATTTGAATGCTCAGGAATGAGACAATGATTCAACCTGAGGTCACATGT